GGGGTTGCCCGGATTTCGGCGTCTCCTCCCCGCCCGTGGGGCCGCTTCCTCTCGCCATCCTTTAGTACCGAGCAGGGCTCGCCGCGTTGCTTTAAATGCGGAGTGAATTCGCTTTTGGCTAGTTGTAGGAGTGTGTGTGGGGGGGTGTTACCTGCTTTTTTTTTTTTTTTTTTTTTTTTTTTTTTTCCCCCTTTTGCTGGATTTTGCCTGCTTTGTGGCAGCCAAATTGCTATCACTTGCTCTTACTTTCCCAGGTGTGCAAGAGAAGTAACTTTGTAGTGGGAGGCTCGGGGTTCCCCTGCGCTTTGCTTCGCTGCGTATCGCTTCGGTGATGCTGCCGGAGGTACTCGGACCCTGTGTGAGTATTTTGTTTGTTTGTTTACGTGAGAAAATTATGCTGGCGAAATCCTCTCCTTTGCCAGCCAGCTTTCACTGAACTGATCTATCCCGGTGCGAACTTGCTTACTGAAACGGAGTTGGTTGGTTGTTGACTTTAGTTAAAGAAATAAATAAAATAATCCCTAAAATAAAAACAGACAGCAAACAAAAACATTCACACGCGTACATCAACGTAGCGGAGTGCTTTAAAGGTACCTTTGAGGGAAGCTTAAGATGTAAGGTGTAGTTCTTTAAAAAAAGGCATTTGTGTACTTGTAATGAAAGAGAGAGTAATTTTTCAGCGATGTTAACACAGCACAACTGTGGCAGCTGGCAAGAACCCAGGCGGTGCCCTTAGTTTTATGACAGTCTGTTGCTCAAAGCACACGGGAAGCTGAATTACTGCAAAGTGGCATTAAGAACATAGGAATTCTCACCTGGATATTTTTGTATTCACTTCTGTGATTAAGCTGTAGAATTTGTCCAGGTGCTTTGCATTGATTTTGATTCATTCGCAGGAGCTGGTCCTGTTGAGTGGGTAGGTTTAGCTGTCAGGATGAATTGAGTGTATTTGAGTAATAATCTTATTTGTTTCATTTTTTGCTGCTGTTCAATACCGTCGTAAAATAGCTTAGCGTACAGCAAATAGCCTTTCATACGATGTAGTCTGGAGATTGTTCTTCCCACAGCTACTGCAAAGTGAAACTACCCGTAACGAATCAATTTGAAGAAAACAGCGCAGAGAGGAAATTTTATTTCTTAAAAATTTTTGCCACTTTTTTTTTTTTCCTTAGGGATGGTAAATTTTGCGCTGTTAAGAAATGTTTAACTTTGATTATAGGAAAGAAGCTATAGAATAGTTTGTAGATGTGTGTATTTAAGGTGTCAATTAAGAAACAAGGGCGTGAGGAGGGGCACCTCTGCCATTGACGGGCGGTTGGAAGGTGGGTGTCTGAAGAGCACATGGGTTCCTGTAATTGTCCCCTCTTTGGCCCGTGGGTAAGACTAACAGAGGCTGGGAGTGTCGCTTACCGTGTCATTTGGGGTAATTAGTACCATAACTGGCTCAACTTCACTGCAAGTTTTTTTTTCCCAGTGGCTTTTGCATTTAGTAATGTAAGCAGCTGCTTTCCAACCAACTGCACTGATGAAATTCCTCTCACTTGAACAGATAATTACTCAAAAATGTACCTGCTCAGGCAAGAAATGCTGCTGAGGAGGATAGTGGTTGTGCTTTGAATATTGGAGTTCACTGGGATTTGGGGCTGCCTGTGATGAAGCTGGGGTTGTGGCCAGGGGGGTGCTCAGGGCAGGGGATAAACCTCACCCCAGAAGCCTCTTGGTTCCTTAGACATTAGGAAAAATTTCTTCACAGAAAGGGTTGTCAGGCTCTGGAATGGGCTGCCCAGGGAGGTGGTCGAGTCCCCATCCCTGGAGGTATTTAAAAGAAGAGCAGATGAGGTGCTTAGGGACAGGGTTTAGTGGTGGGATGGCAGGGTTAGGGTAGCGGTTGGACTCGTTGATCTTAAAGGTCTTTTCCAACCTAGACGATTCTATGATTCTATCTATGATTCTATGATCCTCCTGCTGAGATTTCCAGGCAATACTGAGCGTGTGCTTTAGTCTGCATTGTGCTGATTTCCCCATCTCAATCTCCAAAACTGATTTCTTATTGACAGCTGAAGGTTGCCACGAGGCCTCCACCAGCAGCTCTGAAATTCCCACAGGGCACGCGTACCATGTAATGATGTGCACTGTCATTTTGTTAGAAGAATATTCGATTTCATCTGTTTTAGTCACTTGCTCCTATACCATGAACTAATTTTAGTCTGGGGCTTTGAATTTTGGTCTCCTGAGGTACGGAGATGTGGGGTGTCTTTCATCATCTCGGTGCTGGTTGGGGTCCCTCTGCCCAGGCAGCAGCCAGCTGACGTGGGAGAAGGGGAAGCTTTACCTTAGCAGGGAGAGCAAAGCATGCGAAACATGCTCTGCATTTCCTCCGCACCACTTCCATCCTTGAGTGGAAAATTGCTCCCGATTTCCTCAGATTTGGAGGATTTACATTGGCACCCTTCCCACATTCCCATTTTACTTCCAGTTGTATGTATTAGATAAAGCACTTGCACAGAAGCTTGTTTATAAGCGAAAGGAATGTTTTTCCTCAATCTATCCCTACCAAAGTTAAGTAGCTAGATGTTCCCTGGGTCCCAGGGGGGCTATTTCGCGAGACTAAATTGGTCTTTGCAGGATCATGAGGCTGTCAGAAACACGAGCGACTCAAACTCTGATTTCAAATTGAGTATCAGCATAACAGCTGTACTGCAGTGCACCTCTATTTTCGAAGATGCCAATGCTGTAAAATCAAATTATAGAAGCAAAGGGGATATTTATATTTATGCAATTTGTGTGTCTCAATGGCAAGGCTTGCTTTCCATCTTCTATGTAAGGATTAACTCCCCGTTGCCTTCTGTGTGAGGGTCCTGACGACGCCGGGGAACGGTAAGAGAAATGGGGCCAAGTCTGCCGTATTTGATCAAATGATTGATCCACCTTAGTATATGCTTGGCAATTTCTCACTTGAAGAAATTAGTTTGGGTGTAACTACAGGTTTACCGGCATTGCCACAGAGTGGGGTGATCGCTGTGTGGGCAGGCAGTTTTGGTCCAGTTTAGGGATCAGTAATAAGGAAGCCTGGCTAATGGAGACTTCGTTTCTGTTAGATGTGCTCCACCTTGCCTGGATTTTGGGTATCGTGTGAGTAGTAAGGTGCTACAGATGTGTGGTCTGTCTGTCCTGCCCTGAGGATGCCACCTCCTAAAGCAAACTCGGCTTTTGCCGCCCTCATTGCAGCACGCCTCGCCGTGCTGGGGTAAATATCTGCGTGGAGTGTAACTTTATTCGCACTGATTTATCGCGTAGCTGCTCTGCACTGACATAAAGGAGGGTCTTGCTGTAATTTTTGAAAGTATTTAGGAATTATTAGTTCTCTTACTTATCAAAAAATGCACCACAACCAATCATAGGTGATTTTAAAACCCTTTAACCTATTCTTTCACCTTAAAAACTATTTGGTTCATTACACCTAAGGATAAGACTGTGGAAAATAAGATGTTAATTAACTTTTCTTGAAACATTTCTAGAATGGTTTTGGACTTTGTTTTGCACTACCTTATAAATTCAGACAAGTCAATTATTTCAGGAAAAAAGACTCTGTATGCCTGTTGTGTGTGCCAGTTAAGAAGTTTAGACAGTATAACTTTAACCAGGCTCCTTGAACGGTCTGTGCTTTTTAATTAAGAGAGATCATTAGAGATGATAATGCAGAAGTGGAAAAAATCTGAGTGATATGGAGTAAAGGGAGAACAATTGCTCATAATTCCACGTAACTCAAGATTTTAAAGAGAGGAGAATAAAAGAGCAAAATTCAATGATTTTTTTTTTCCGAGGTACTGTTCAATAAAAGGAGATGCTGTTTCACACAAGGATAATTTATCTGTGGAGCTCATTATTGCAGGATGTTCCTGTTGCTTGAGATATAAATGAATTTTCGAAGTTGTTAGGCAAATTAATAGCAAAAAAAGTATGCTGGGACTGTTAATCACAAAGATGCAGATACAGTTTCTAGCTGAAGCAGCCCTTAAATGACAGATTCCTGCAAACCAGGAGATTTTTTTGCAGGCAGAATCACTATATAATTTCCTGACCTTATATTCTTCTCCTGAGCATCTGCTTTTGGTCAGAGTTAGAGGCAGCTTATTGGGCTAAATAGATATTTGGAGTGACGCAGCCCACTTACAGGCTCTGTGTGATGAAAATTTGGATGGGTTTTTCTCAGATCACTACTACGTTGTCTAAAACAGTTCCAAGCAGGTGAACGTTAGAAGTAACTTCAATTTTCACACTTGGGGAAAAACCTGCAGTAAATAGCGTGCTGAATGCTGTGTTTCCTTAAGTTTTGATGAACTGGCTCTTCGTAACCATCTTCTTAGAATGCAGATTGATCTGACGTTTTGCAAGGCTACACCACTGCTGCAAAGCTTCGTTGTTTTATCGCTTGTGAAATAATTGGATCATTGTTTGAAAATCTGAAGGATGTTATGATTTTGGTTTTGATTTCTATTTTCTTAAATGTATACTGCTTTTTTTTTTTTTTTTTTGAAGCAGGCCTGGTTTTTTGGTTATCTTCACATAAGCAATCTGCTGACCTTCAGGTGTTTTATTTTTTAACCTTTGTTTTCGATGCTCCTGTTGAACCCTGCCTCAGGGCTGATGATGACAAAGTGTGTGTCTGCACTTTTCCGTTGACTTCAGCTGTGGCTTGCCTAAGGAAAACAGACCCTGGAGCTGGAAGTCTTCAAAGCTGCTTGTGGCATTAGAGCTGGAACATTTTCAGTTTGGTCACGAAGGCATCCAGCGTCTCCTGCCACCAGAGAGGACCCTTGCGTGGGTAGGAAGGATGCACAGCGTGACCACTGTTGGTCTTAGAGGAGAGCATCTTGGCAATGCTGTCTGGTGGTCCCTAATTAAAACTAGTTAGCTTGCCTGCTTGCTTCTGGTTTTTTGGTCAGTGTTTGGTGAGAGCTGGAGCTAAATGACCCGGAGGGTGACTTTTCTGCCTGCCATGGTGGGCGCCTGTTTCATATGTATTTACACAGATGCTCCTTCACTAGCTTGTTTTCTCTTTCCCACAAAACCAAGACGCTAAAATCCAAGCAAAATAATAATGTAGGTTTTGAGATCTTTGTTTTGTTTTGTTGGCCTTTTGGAATGAGGAAAAAAAAAGGGGGGGGGGATAATCTTATTCATATCCTTCCTTTCTGGGAAGTACTTATACCCTTGACCATTCTTCCTGTTGCCCACTTCTAAGAACTACATTTGTAGTCTGCAAAGTAAATTCTGCTTTACTGGAAACTTTAGGTTTGGGAAGACTCCATTGTTTTGGAAATTCTTGGAATTGTGTAGCTTTGCTGCCTTAAGATC